GGGGGGGATGGATTCTGGGTAGGCATCTACTACTGAGACAGACGCCTAGAATTAAATTTTTCTAATTTGACTTTTAAAATCCAATGTGTAGCCCAAGGCTGGCCTTACGCCTGAATACTCCCCAACCCTGGTCTGTCAGGCTGGCTGCTTATGGTAGCCGTTGTCACTCCTGCTGATCGGGAATCTTGCTCCCCCTCCCCTAGGCCATCATCAACAGCACGGTCACTCCCAACATGACCTTCACCAAAACCTCTCAGAAGTTCGGGCAGTGGGCAGACAGCCGAGCCAACACTGTCTATGGCCTAGGCTTTGCCTCTGAACAGCAGCTGACCCAGGTGGGCAGTGATGGGCATCTGTGTTCCTCGAGGTGGGGTCGCACATGACAAGACTGCTTGAGTGCCTGAGTAGTGCGGTTGCTCGGCACCTTGCCCCGACTTTGCATGCCCTTATGCCCCTTAGGGGCATCAAGCGGAGGCCCAAACTGGGCTCATCCCCATGCCCCAGCAGGTTCTGCCATCACACTTGGTATTGAGTCCTTATTTTCACATATATTTTCATGTGTTTGTGTGTATCTGTGTGCATATGCCATGTGTGCTCGTGCCTGCAGAGGTCTCGAAGCGGCTTTAGATCCCCTGCAGCTGGAGGTGCAGGCCGTGTGAGGGCACATGATGTAGGCGCTGGGAACTCGATTCATTTGGAAGCACTCTCAACTGCTGAGCCATCTCTCCAGCCCTCCAGCCTCTCTCTCTCTATTTTTTTTTTTTTGTTTGTTTGAGACAGGGTTTCTCTGTGTAGCCCTGGCTGTTCTGGAACTCATTCTGTAGATCAGGCTGGCCTGGAGATCCACCTGCTTCAGCCTCCCAAGTGCTGGGATTGAAAGTGTGTGCCACTACTGCCTGGCCTTTTATTTTATTTTATTTTTGAGTTTTAAGGCAAGGTGTCACTGTCTTCAAATTTTCAGCACTATTTCTGCCATTAGAGTGCTGTGATCACAGGCTTATTTGTTTACTTAAAATCTCTCTGGCCTCAAGGAATCCTCCCTTAGCCTTTCTGACTGGGATTAGTCCTTACCTGATTAAAAATAATAATAATGTCTTGATCAAGAGCATTGGCTGCTTTGGCGGAGGACCTAGGTTCCGTTTCCTGCACTCACACAGCAGCTCACTGCAACTCACACAGCTCATCTGTAACTCCCGTTCTAGGAGCTCAGACACCTCTGGCCTCCGGGGCACCAGGCACCCACGTGGCAGCCAGATCCACATAGCTAATACATAGTTATTTTTTTTCTAGTTTTCTTTTCTGTAGCGCTGGCTGGGCTGTAACTTGCTCTGTAGGCAAGGCTGGTTCTAAACCCACACGTTGTAGCTCGGGCTCACCTTGAATTTCTGACGTGCCTGAGCCTCTCAGAGCGGCACGGTGCCCGCTGCAGGTGGGGCTAGATGGTGGCTAGGAGTCTGTGCTGTGTGTGCTGCTCTTGCAGAGGAGGGAGTTCAATTCCCAGACCCACATGGTGATTCACAAACATCTGTGACTCCATGGAGGGACAATCTGATGCACTTTTCTGGGTGCACTTACCTGTGTGTATACACACAATTAAAAGTAATAAAAAAAATTAAAAAACCAAGTTCTCTTCTAAAAGTTCTTATTACATTTCTTTACCCTTTCTGTGTTGTATGTCTGTGTGGGTGCATGTGTGCTGAGAAAATCAAAGGACAGCCAGTAGGAGTCAGTTCCCTCCTGCCATGTGGATCCAGGGACCAAGCTTAAGTCACCATCTCAGCAGAAGCTTACTGAGCAACTCACAAGCCTCACTTTTCTTTCTTTCTTTCTCTTTCTTTCTTTCTTTCTTTTTCTTCCTCCCTTTCTTTCTTTTTCTTCCTCCCTTTCTTTCTTTCTTTCTTTCTTTCCTTCTTTCTTCCCTCCTTCCTTCCTTCCTTCCTTCCTTTCTTTTTTTGAGACATGGTCTCTCTGTGTAGACCATACTGGCCTAGAGCTAAAACGTTTGCACCACCCCCACTGGGCTTTATTTTAATTTTCTGTATAAGCATGTTCATGCCTTTGTATGTGTGTGTGTGCGTGTGTGTGCCTGCAGAGGGCATTGGATCCCTGGAGCTGGAGTACCGGGCAGTTGTGAGTTAGTTGCCTGAGGCGGTGTGTGACCTGGTGCAGCTTTTCTGCCACATCAGCTGACACTCCACCACTGAGCTCCTCTCAACCTATTATTTTTGATAAACAAAACTATATTAAAATGAAAAGAATGCATTATTGCGAGCAGGGAACCAGCACTAGTCGTCAGCTGACCCATTTAGGAGAAGGAATGCCGAGAGGCCGGCCCTCTCTGGCTGTGGACATCCTTCCCTGTGCTGTGAGGTACTGGTGGGTGTGAAGGACAGATGGGGAGCCAGCCTCAGGCTGTCCACTCTGAGCCTGCCTGACAGGAACAGGGAGTCCCCTCCAGGGGTCACCCTGACGCCTGAGGTGCTCACAGGGTGGATCTTTGCCAGCCTTCCCCAGTGTGACAGGGCCGGCAGGGGATGGGGTCCTGGGAGGGAGGTGTGGGGGAGTGCGTTCTGACTGTCCCCCTGCCTCACCCCCAGTTTGCTGAGAAGTTTCAGGAGGTGAGAGAAGCTGCCAGGCTGGCTCGGGAGAAATCTCAAGATGGCGGAGAATTCACTAGTCCTGCCCTGGCTCTTTCCTCCCACCAGGTAGGTGTTCCTGTCGCTCATGCTTACCACACCCCTGAGGCTGCTATAGGCCTGGGATCTATCAGGGGCCGTGGCACTGTGCTAGCGTCTAAGGCTTGACGGCCTTATTGCATTTATTTGTGTGTGCATGTATGTGCACGCACCTGGGTGCCTGCACGTGAACATCCAAGGACACCTTGTGGGAGTCAGTGCTCTCCTTTCAGCAGGGCATCAGGCTTGGTGAGCAGCTCCTTTACCTTCTGAGCCATCTTGCTGGCCATGCCTCAGTTTTAAATGGGATGTTTGAATTTCTGTGCCCAGGCAGAACCGTTCCAAGTGTCAGCCCCCGGATTCTCTGTAGGTTGTTCGGATTTGGCCCTGTGGAGTTATTGACGGCCCAGGCAGGTAGAGCACAGGTTTCCCATCCAGGGTCCCCATGGAGCTCTGAAGGGTGAGGAGGGAGGAGAGACACTGGGCTTCATAGCTCAGCTCAGACGCTCAGGTCGCAATGCCCCCAGTCTTCCTCTAAATCAGGCCTACCTCCGGCGGCATCCTTGACTGAAGCAAGCGCTCCCTGTGACCCAGTCCTGGCTCCCATGCACAGGTCCCCCCAAGTCCCTTGGTCAGCACCAACGGTCCAGGAGAGGAGAAGCTGTTCCGCAGCCAGAGTGCAGACGCCCCTGGCCCCACTGAGCGGGAGCGGTTGAAGAAGATGCTGTCAGAAGGGTGAGGGGTACTGCTTGTGCGGCAGGTGTGCTGGGCGGAGCCTGCTTAAAGCCAGGACGGGGACGGACGTGGTGGTGCCTAGGGGCTGTTTCCTGGCTGTGACTTAGCTTTAGGAGTGGCAGGGTGTGGTATTTCTGTGGTCAGGGTCTTGACTGGCACTGAGGGGCATGGGTGGCACCAGGGGTGTGCTAGGGCGGGACGCACCCAGGACAGACCTTGTTGCGGGGGTCAGGGTCTGGCAGGGATTCAGGGGCGTGGGTAGTGAGGCGGGGCCTTGGATGGGTGGGGTCACATGGGGGCGTGGACTGCGGAAGGTGCAGCTGGGTGGGAGTGGGGGAATCTGCACTGCACACCCAGAACGGAGGAGACAGTCGCTTCCTGTCTCATCTGCGGAGATGCTGCCCCCGCCCCCATTCCGTTGCTCCAGCGAGCTATCCCGTGGCAATCTGGGGCGGGACCCAGGGATAGGTTCCCAGGTTTGTGGAGGTAGGGTCTCACTTGTAGCCTGTTCCAGAGTCTGGCCTAGAACTCACTGTATATAACCTAGGTTGACGTCGTTTTCATGGGATGGCCTCCCATGAGCCGCTTGCCTGCGCCACACGCCTTGGATTCATGGTCCCCCGCTCCTAGCTCAGTGTTGCTTTGGCCCTGCTCTTAGCCCAGGATGCCCCCACCAGATGCCAGCCCCCTGACTGCGCACACCCCGGCCGGTGTCTTCCCGCAGCTCCGTGGGCGAGGTCCAGTGGGAGGCCGAGTTCTTTGCGCTGCAGGACAGCAACCAGAGGCTGGCGGGGGCCCTACGCGAGGCTAACTCAGCGGCTGCTCAGTGGAGGCAGCAGCTGGAGGCCCAGCGTGCGGAGGCTGACCGCCTGCGGCAGCGGGTGAGGAGCCCGCCTCCCTCCTGTCCCCGGGAATCCCGCTTCTTGCTGAATGACTTGGAACTGGGAGAACTTCACGGGGGTCACCAGGCTTTCCACGTCCCCGAGGGCGGCGGGCCTACTGGGCTGTGTGTGTGCAGGTGGCGGAGCTGGAGGCCCAGGCGGCTGCAGAGCCGGTCTCGGCGGGAGAGAAGGAAGCAACCAGCCAGTCCGTGGAGCAACTGGAGGCACGGGTGCAGACCAAGGACCAAGTAAGCCATGGGCAAGCTCCGGGGCCCTCACCCACCTCTCCCGCGGAACCCAGGAGCCTCTGAACAGACCCGGGTCCCCTTCTGCCCTAGGAGATCCAGACTTTGAAGAATCAGAACACAGGGACCCGAGATGCTTCTGACACCACTGAGCGGGAGGAGACACAGCAGAAGGTTCAGGTCGGCCGCGTGACCTCGCCTGTGGGAGGGGCCTGGGCAGGGCGGGTTCCCTCCGCCTGTGAGTGCGATGGCGAATGGCAAAGGCGCCTCATGGTGTTGCCTTTTGAGCAGTCTGAGGTCCTGGGACCAGTCTAGAGACCTCACCCCAAAGTGAGCCTTCCCAAGAGATTCCTGGGGAGAAAGTTAGCGAGGTGACCCTGAGGAGGGGTGGCTGGCGGCGCGGCAGCCACTCAGGATGGTCCACTGGGTGTTTTTGGTACAGGTGCTTGTGCGGAGGCCCGAGCTGGGCTTCCTCTTCTAGTTCATCCTTTGCAATAATCCATCTCCCCCGTGCCCAGGCTGGCTGGGCGCTTAGTCAGTGACCAGCAGGGACACGCTCTTGGTGTTCAGCAGCTAGCTGTATCTGGGACCTTGGATTTTACGTGGGTGTGAGGGATTGGAATTCAGGCCTCTCAGTTTATGGCAGGCTCTTTACCTTCTCTTTCGCCACGGAATCAACTCTCCAGTCCTTCAGCTTGTTTAGAAGCGTCTCGTACTGGCCTGGGACGGCTTAGGCTAGTCACCGTGCTCCAGGAATCATGCCCATCACCCCAGTCCTAGGCCAACAAATGTGTGCCAACCATGCTCAGCTTTTTTTTTTTTTTAAAGACCTATTTTATTACATATAGTGTTCTGCTTGCATGTACACCTGAAGGCCAGAAGAGGGCACCAGATTTCACTATAGATTATTATGAGCCACCATGTGGTTGCTGGGAATTGACCTCGGGCCCTCTGGAAGAGCAAGCAATGCTCTTAGTCATCTCTCCAGCACCCCAGCTCAGCTTTTTATGTGGAATGTTGGATTCCAAGCTCCGTATCTGTGCCTCACGCTTTCATGGCACTTGACAGACTCGCCACCTCCCAAATCCAGCAGGACTGGCAACCAGAGCTTCTCAGATTGCCCTGTCACCCCTTCCTCCCACTGCAGGACCTGGAGACCCGGAACACGGAGCTGGAGCAGCAGCTGCGGGCGATGGAGTGCAGCCTGGAGGAGGCTCGGGCCGAGCGGGAACGCGCAAGGGTGGAGGTGGGCCGGGCCGCGCAGCTCCTGGACGTGCGGCTGTTTGAGCTGAGCGAGCTGCGAGAGGGCCTGGCACGCCTGGCAGAGGCGGCGCCCTAGTCAGCCTGGGAGGGTCTGTGCTCCCAAGGTGCCCTGGCAGGGCCCAGGGGACCCCGGCTGTCCTGAGCTTTGCACTGTGTAGTTTTCTAGAACCCTTGAGCGGCGCTATGCCGGGATTACATTTCTTAAGTGGCTGTACAAGTGCGTGACGTTGCTGGCACCTGCTGCGGCTGGCTGCCGCCGCCCAGCATCCCAGGGACACTGCGAGGGAAGGCCACAGTGGTCATCCATATGAGTAACAGGCTTTGGGGACCTAAGTTCTGCAGACCCATCCCTCTTCCTTCTCAAGTCGGACTGCCAGGTTTAAAGAGCGTTTACTGAGGCCCTCTGTGGCCCACCCGGGGTACCTGCGGCCGCAGGTTCTCAGCTCACGCCTGGGCCTTGGCCGATGCTGGGGGCCGAGCCCCTCGGCCAGCTTTCTTCTGTCGAAGTGTCTGCTCCACCTTCTCCTTGAAGCGACGGTTCTGCTGCTTAATCTTGGCCAGCTCCGCCTTGCGCTTGGCCTCCAGGTCCGGGTCCTGAGGAAGGGAGCTCTGCTGAGCCTGGAGCTGGGCAAGCCCCGCCCACCACCACTGGCCACACCCCCATCCCTGGCCCTGCCCAATCGAGGCCTCCCACCTTTCCCTCCAGAATAAGCTGCTTCCGCTTGTTGATCTCCTTCTTTTCATCGAAATGAGTCGCCTCTAGTTTCTAGGTGGATGGGGAACAAGAGGTCAGGTCTTGCCCCCAAGCAGGGAGCCCCCTCCCACACCCCGCAGGCCGGCCACACTCACGATCTCGCACTCCCGGCGCACCACGTTGACCTGAGTGAGGATCTGCAGGACCTCGGCTTCCTCCACTGCCAGCTCCTCTAGCTGCTTCTCTGCGGGCAGATGGGCAGGACAGGCAAAGTGAGTTGGGCTGTGATTGTGCCTGGCCCCCTGCACCCTAGTTCTGAGTGTCTGGATCCAACTAAACGTGGACGATAGTAAAAAGAAGCAAAATTGTGCCAAGCTTGGTGGCACATGTCTGTCCTCACAGCACTGGGAGGCTGAGGCAGGGGTGTCACCATGTGTTCCAGACCAGCTCTGCAGAGCAAGAACCTGTCTCAAGTAAATGAATGAATAAATAAATGAAACGAAAGAGTGAATGGGTTAAGATCTATGTGCCTGTGACCCCAGCAACCTCAGAAGCGGAGGCAAGCTTCTCTTGGCAGCCCAGGACTTCCAGGCCACTGTGGCTTACAGTGAGAGCTCAGGAAAGCTTGCTCGCTGCAGGGGGCCCCAGATGGTCTGTCTCAGCGGCTGCTTAACATGGGGAGGCTCCCAGCCACACAGCCCCCTCCTTACCACAGGCACGCCTGCAGGGGTGAGGCCTGTGTGCCGCAGCCTTTCACCGTGTTGGATAAGCACCAGGGCAGGGTGGCCGGGGAAGGGGGCTCTCTCCCAGGGCTGGACAGGTCCCACCCATGGCTCCCCTGAACCCCAGCCACTTACTGATCTGCTCCTCAATGGCATGCAACAGGTGGATGTCGTACTGCGTCACCAGCGTGATGGCCTGTCCCTGCCTCCCTGTGGGGACATGTCTGTGACAGGACCTGGCCTAACAAGAGGTTCCCTCCTGCTGGACAGAGCCGCGATCCTCCTCAGAGGCATAATAGGGAAGGGGACAGCTCAGAGGGGCTCCACCCAGGAAGCTGCAAGGCAGCTGGGCAGCAGCTCTGCTAACCTGGCCTTCTATAGAGCCGGCAGGAAGCCAGGGTTAGTCCTACTCTGTAGCCCTTTCTACAGTGGTGACCGAGCAGCTGCTGCCTACAAGGCCTCTGACCCACGGTGGCACAGGGTCAGGATGGCAGGTCCAGGCTAGCCCTAGCAGTCTGGTCTCTCCTAGTTGCAGGCATGAGGGAATATGTCTCCCTGGCCCCTGGGTAGGTATCCCCGTGCGGCAGCAGGCTGAGGATGTCACTGGGAAGGTGACCCGAGCCTCAGCCTCCGAAGGACAGCGGGAGCTCCGCAGCGTCTCACTGTAGCTGCGACCTCCCAGGCCTGGTTTACCTGCACGGGCTGTGCGACCAACTCGGTGGATGTAGATCTTGGGGAGCCCAGGGGTGTTGTGGTTGATGACTACCTGCACGGTGGGGATGTCCAGGCCCCTGGGGATACAGAGCACCCAGCTGGGGAGTCCATGTGGGGGACCAAGGCTGACACTCAGCCGTCCCCATGCCCGGCTTCCTGGCCTCACCACCCACGGGAGGAACAGTTAGCTGTGGAAACCTGCTCACCTCGAAGCCACGTCAGTGGCGATAAGAATCCGGTAGATGCTGGACTTGAACTTGGCCAAGGCTGCAAAGCGTTCTTTCTGTGCCACAGGCGGGAGAGGTTTGTGAGCAAATGGAGGGAGCCTGGGGACAGTGCAGAGACCAGAGGGAAGGTGGTCCCAAAGCCAAAGGGGACAGCAGGACCACATGGGTGAGCTCTGACGTCGTGTCCGTGCGCGCACATATGTGCATGTCTGTTTGTGTGTATGTGTTTTAAGACAGGGCTCTGCCGGGCACTGGGGAAGCAGAGCCAGGAGGATCTCTAGGTTTGAAGAGACATAAAGAGTTCTAAGACCCTGTCTCAAAAAAAAAAAAAAAAAAAAAAAAAAAAAACAACCCAAGAAAGCAAAACCCAAAAGATGGCCTTTCGCCTAAGCTGGCCTTGTGTTTCCTATGTATCCAAGGCTCGCCTTGAACTCCTGATCTTCAGGCCTCACATCCTGAGTTCTGTTGGTCCAGGCATGCACATACATGTAAATCCCAGTTCATGGTGTTGGGGATGGACCCTGGCTCTCACACATGCTAGGTAAGCACTCTACCCACAGACTTGAGACCAGAGTGTCACCTGCTTCATCATGGAGTGTAGCGCCACTGCGGGGAAGCTGAACTTTCGAAGCATCATGCACAGGATTTGGCAGGTCCTAGAGGGAAAAGGGTGGCTGTGGGCGTGCTGCTCAACTGACCAAGACATCACCTTGGTGGTAGAGATGCTAGGTTGGCTGCCTATAAGCATCTCAAAGCCAGAACCAACAAGAAGCCGCCCTGACCAAGTCGCTGGACCCTGCTCTGCAGCCTTCATCCCCTCTGTGGACAGAGAGAGACACTCTTCCCTCTGCCCTTCTACACTGACCCAAGCTGAGACAGCCAGTAGCCTGTATTTGCCATATTTGTTTTTTTTTTGAGTCAGGGTCTCACTGCGTAGCCCTGGCTGGCCTGGAACTTGCTGTGTAGACCAGGCTGGCCTCAGAGATCTGCCTGCCTCCTGGGTGCTGGAATCACTTAGCAGCACCTAGCCGAGCTTCATGCTCACATGAAGGAGACCAGGCCAGGATCTCTGGCACAGGAGGCCAGGACCACTCACTCACTTGCAGGTGTTGGTGAAGATGATGATGGAGCAGTCCTCCACCTGGTCTTGGAAGGTCTGGACCAGGTGAACCAGGTAGGCGTCCTTCACCTTCTCCGGCACCAGCAGGTAGCGCTGGTCAAGCTGCTCCACTGTGCGAACGCTGGAGGTGGAAAGGCAGAGCAGCTTACCCTCAGCTTTCTCTGCCTGGCCGTCTGGCGTGACCCTCACCCACAGCTTTGGAACTCACGGGGCCTGCGCCTCCCAGAAGAAGGGCTGGTTGGTGGCTAGGCCCTGAAGCTCCTTGAGCGTGTCAGTCAGTGTGGCACTGAAGAGCAGCGTCTGCCTGTGTGTTGGAACGGCTGCCAGGATGGTCTCTAGGTCCGCAGTGAAGTCAGTGCAACCCTGCTCCAGCAGCCGATCAGCTTCATCCATCACCTGCGTTGGAGGGTTAGGAGGGGGCTGCAAACAGTCTGGAGCCGCGTACGCTGTCCCAAGCCCAAACCACCTGCTTTTCAGGGACCACGAAATGGGCTCCTTGAACACTGTCCCAGCCTCCAGTCCAGGTCACCCGCTCTGTGATGCTGCTCTAGCGTTCCTCTAGGGCGGTCCCCTTCTACATGCCTTGTCTCTTCCGGACTTTGTTTTGTATAAGACAGGGTCTGGCTGAGTAGTCCTGACTGTCCTGGAGCGCTCTGTAGAGCAGGCTGGCCTTGAGCTCATAGAAAAACTTGTGTCTCCACCTCGTGAGTGCTGGGTTGGAACGAGAGGCCCACCACACCCAGCTGGCCTTCATCTTTATTTCTAGCCCTTTGCTCAGTGACCTATTAAGAATGGCTCCAGCCAAGCACAGTGGCGCACATCTACACAGACAGATCCAGGACAGTGGGACTACAGAGAGACTCTGTCTCAAAGAGAGAGGAGAGAAGAGAGAATTGGCGCATGTCTTCTGAGCCCTGCCTCCAGCCCCAAGCCTCTGAAAGGAGTACAGCCGGCTAACCAGAAATCGAATTTTCTTCATGTTGAAAGTGTTGGAGCTGCGCAGGTGGTCGGCCAGGCGCCCAGGGGTGGCGATAACCACGTGAGGCTTCCGGGACAGCTCCAGTGCCTGTGCCACCATGTCTGCAGTGGAGGGAGAAGCAAGACCAAGTGAGTGGGTCAGCAGGGACCCCACGGTCCACCCCAGCCTCATAGGCCCCATACCCATGCCGCCGACAATAATGCAGTCCTTCAGGCCCAGGGGCTTCCCCAGCACCCGGAACTGCTCCGCGATCTGGTAGGCCAGCTCCCTATGGGTGCAAAGAACAGCTGGGTCAGTGAACACCTGTGCTCATCTCCCTCCCTCCCCCCAGGCTCCTCATGGCCTCCACTTCCCTAATGTTGGCCTCCTCAAAATCAGTTCTAGGGGGAACGGCAACGTCCCAGCAGGTAAGGAACAAGCTAACAGGTGGAGTTCCGTCCCCAGGACAGAGAGGAAAGAAGTGACTCCTTCAGGTATACACACACAGCAGCAGCCTGCTCACTGTGCAAGCATGATGACACGGGTCAGATGCTCAGCATCTTTGTAAAAGCTCAGTGCGCAGCCATATCTCCGTGGGGGAGAGGAGGGGCACTGACACAGGAGTGGGGCTCATTGGCCAGCCAACCTAGCCGATTAACAAGCCCTAATTTCAGTGACAGATGCTGTCTCAAAAAAGAAAATGGAGGGCTGGAGAGATGGCTCAGAGGTTAAGAGTGCTGGCTGCTCTTCCAGAGGTCCTGAGTTCAATTCTCAACAACCACATGGTGGCTCCTAACGATCTATAATGAGATCTGGTGCCCTCTTCTGGCCTAGAGGCACACATGCAGGCAGAACACTGTATATATAGTTAATAAATAAATCTTAAAAAAAAAAAAAGATGGGAAGCTCCATGAAGTGGCACATGCCTGTAATCCCAGCATGCCGGGAGGCAGAGGCAGGTGGATCTCTGAGCTCAAGGCCAGCTGGTCTACAGAGTCAGTTCCAGGACAACCAGGGCTACGCAGAGAAACCTTGTATCAATCAATGAACAAATAGATGGTGGGGGCAAAGAGGCAGCTAAGGAAGCCCTCTTCCGGAGGTCCTTCCTTCAATTTCCAGCGCTCATATGGTGGTTCACAACTGTCTATAATAGGATCTAATGCTCTCTTCTGATCCAAGGCACAGAAATAAACACATTCTGTTGTTGTTATTGTTTCTCTTTTTGGTTTTTTTGAGACAGGGTTTCTCTGTGTTAACAGTCCTGGCTGTCCTGGATTCGCTTTATAGCCCAGGCTAGCCTCGAACTCAGAGCAATTCCCCTACTTCTTCCTCTCTGAGTGCTGCAATTACAGGCGTGTGTCACCACGCATGACTAGCAAACAAGTCTTTGCCATTGTGTAGTGGCACACTCCTTTACTCCCAGCACTCTGGAGGCAGAGGCAGGAGGATCTTTGTGAGTCAGTGCCAGCCTGGTCTACACAGTGAGTTCCAGAACAGGCAGGGTACACACTGAGGTGGTGGTGGTGGAAAGGAGTTCAACGGTTCAGAGCAAAGGACCTCAGTTCAGTTCCCAGCATACACATGAGGTAGTTTACAATAGCATGTAATTGCAGGGGACCTCACTCCTCTTCCAGCCTCTGTGGGCACCACACTCACAGGTGGAAACACACACAGAAACAAACACATTATCTTATCATTAAAAATAAACCTTTTTTTTTTTTTTTTTTTTCAAAAAAAGAAAATAAGGTGGAGAGCAATTGAGAAACATGCCTGAGGTTAACTCCTGGCCTCTACACAACTTAAGCCCACGTGTAAACATACATACAACCTAACCCTCTGTGTGATACTTGAGACCCATATTCAAGGTGCTCTAATAACATTCTTTCTGTTCCCTGGCCCTCTTAACCTAAGCATACAGGCACCTTTACACCTCCAATAGCTTTTGAAAATATTTATGACACTTATTTGTGTGGGTGTGCATGTGTATGCTGTTGTACTCTGGTGGACAGAAGCCAATCTGTGGGAGTCAGTTCTTTCTTTCCACTATGTGGGTGGGGTCCCCAGGAACTGAACTCAGGTCATCAGGCTTGTGGACAAACACCTCTGCCTGCTAAGCAATCTTCCTGGCCCAAGAACATCATTTTGTTTCCCTGGCTGTTAGACTGCTGTAGCTCCCTCCTGGCCAGCTTCTTCCTGACTCAGTTCCCGAGTCCTGGGAACACTTCACACACACTGTTAGGCCCTTCCAGACTCTGCATCCCTACAAGATTGGGGTGATTCTTCTCCCATTTCAAGGTCAGGGCACTTGCTTCAAGAAAGCCCAGCCAGATTAGGCCCCTAGGGGCAGCCTGTTGGCAGCTCACCTGGTGGGTGTCAGGACCAAGCAGAAGATGCCATAAGGGTCCTCAGACAGTTTCTGCAGGATGGGAAGTACAAAGGCTGCTGTCTTGCCACTTCCTGTTTTTGCACAGCCCAAGCAGTCCCGACCTGGGCAGAAGGCAAAGCAGTATCACCATGAAGCAAGGGCCATGATTATTCTGTTGGGCACTCACTCTTTACTGTAGATGGCTATAGTCTGTTTTCAAGTATGAAGTGCACTTAGAGTTCATCAGTTACAAATGAGCACTGGGCCCTTCTCTCTCCTAGTTGGTGGATGGCGCCCATATGTCCTAGATTTCTAACTGTTGGATAGTTACAGGTGGTCAGCTATGTAACGGAGCCCAGGATCAGAACAGGGGGCAGCCTCAAATCAAAAACTACTGAGCTGGGGAACTTGGGGAGGGGATTCCTGAGATTTGAGGAAAGGCTTCAAAAACTTGCCTGAAATCAGCATGCCAGCCGTTTTTGCCTTTGCTCTAGGCTGGCTCCCCTCTCTGCAGAATGGAATATTAAAGAACTGTCTCATTTTCATTAGTTCCTTGGGTGTTATTATCTAATTTCCAACAATTATTGTGATTCCTTGTTTGAAATAAGTTTTCAAGTAGCCCAGGCTGTTATGGAACTTGCTGTTGAGGATTACTCTGAACTCTTGATCCTCCTACTTCCACCTCCTCAGTACTGGGATGACTGAGAATCACCATATCCAGCTCCAGGGCGTCTCTTTAACGGTAAAAGTAAACTGGGCAGAAAAGCACTGACGCAAACACAGAGCTCTGATTTTTATCTGGAATTTGATGGCTTCTGTTTCTGTTTGCTAAGTCAAAGCCAGGTCTACTCTATTTTTTCAGTGCCATTGATTAGTCATTCTTCAAACTCTCCCTAAGCTCGAGTAGTACGAAAATGTCAGAGGTATTATCGTCTGTGTGACAATGCACATGAGTCAGCTGCGGCCTAAATGCCAACGCTGCGGGTCAGGGTTCCCGAAACATCAAATACCACCTCTGACTCGTGGAACGCAAGTGGGGCTAAGGAACAGGGGACAAAGAAAGGCACGAAAAGAGAAAAGAGGACTCACCCTCCAGGATGGCCGGGATGCAACCGAGCTGCACCGGAGTGGGCTGCTTCAACCCCAGCTGCCGACACTGTTCCACGAGCCATGACGACAGCCCGAGCTCAGCGAACCCCGCCATGCTCAGGACCAGAACAAGGACCCTAATGATAAATACTTCCGGCGCGCGAATCTTACGTCACGGCACCCTGGCGCGGTCCCTCCTGGGAAAGCTAAGAAACTAGTTGGCAAGTGAATGTGACGTCACGGAGAGGCACAGCGCAGTCACCCTCTCCAGATCCTTCATCCAATCCCAGCTTTGACCGCTTTTCTGGTGTTTTTGGGCCTGAAGGCCTTATGCTTGTTAATTGATTCGAACTACAATTCCCGGGAGGCTTTGCATTTTAAAGCAGCCTATTGGTCCCGTAGAACTACATTTCCCATAGTTCCCGGAGGTGGTGCCCTGCTTCCGGCCTACGTGTTTCCCAGGAAGAAGTCGGTTAGAGGTTTGGTGACATGGCTCCTCCGGCTCCCGGCGCGGCCTCTGGCGGCTCCGGAGATGTAGACGAGTTGTTTGACGTGAAGAACGCTTTCTACATCGGCAGCTACCAGCAGTGCATCAACGAGGCGCAGCGAGTGAAGGTGGGTGGCAGGTGGTGCTACTTCCGGCGCGCGCCCTGGCTTTGCTCAGCGGTCGCTGTTTCTCTTATAGCCAAGGCTGGTTTTGAACTGTGTAGCCGAGGCTGACCTTGAAGTCCTGCGCCTTCATTCTCCACCTCTTCAGTGCTGGGATGACAGGCTTACACCCCTGTGCGTTGCTCTTAAAATTCAATTGGTTGATTGACAGGGGCCCAGGCTAACCTGAAGTCAGGGCCACTGGCTCCATCTTAAAAACCTCTTACTAGTTTGTTTCGTGTCTCTCTCTTTCTCTCTTTCTCTCCCTTTCTCTCTCTCCCTCCTCTCTCGTTCTGTGTAAGTGTCTAAAGCCAGGCATAGTGGTGCATGCCTTCTATCCCAGCACTTGAGTCGCAGAGACAGGCCGATCTCTGTGTTCAGGACCAGCCTGATCTTCATGGGTATAGGTCAGTCGGATAATACTGCAACCCTGTCTTAAATAATAGGCCTGTGCCCGAGCGCAGAGACGCACACCTTTGATCCCATCACTCAGGGAGGCAGATACAGGCGGATCTGCCAGCCTGTTCGAGGCCAGCCTGGTGTACAAACTGAGTCCAAGACAGCTAAGGCTACACAGAGAAACCCTATCTCAAAAACAATCAGCCAAGAAAGAAAGAAAGAAATAATAGTAGGCCCAAACTGTAAGTGGTGGCGCATGCCTTTAATCCCTGCTTGGAGGCGGAGGCAGGCGGATCTCTTGAGTTCAAGGCCAGCCTGGTCTACAGAGGGAGTTCCAGGACTGCTAGGGCTACATAGAGAAACCTTATTTTGAATTCTAATCCCCGTTTAAAAAAGAAAAAAAAAAGAGTATAGTTATAAAAGGAAGACAGGGTCTCCTTTAGCCCAGGATGGCCTCAAACTCCCCATGGTGCTGAAGAGTGCTGAATTCCTGATGTTCCTGCCTCCCTCTGCAGTGCCAGGACCACAGGTGTGCATAGCCACACCCAGTTCATTCAGTGCTGCACAGCTTCAAGGCAAGTGCTCTACCAGCTAAATCCCAGCCCTGGTTTGTTTTCCAGTCCCCTAACCCAGGCTGTCCTCAGATTCGGCAGTGTTGCCTCAGCCTTCCACATGCAGGATGTGCCACAGCGCCCGCCTTGTCTTTAGTTCATAGAAGACGAGAATAGTGTTGGCAATAGCCAGGCTGTTCTTGACAACGTCACCCAGCCATTCATTCCTCCCTGCACATACATGTAGGAAACACACTCCTGCTGGGCTCAGTGGGAGATGGAGTTGATAGAACTCCAAACTTCCTGGTATATTAGCCTTGACAACAGAGACAGAGCAGGCAGTCAGAAAATGGCAGGAGAATGGGTTGTGGAAAAGGCTGGTGAAAACAGCCTACCATTCCAGGGTGGGACAGTGATGGGCCATGGCTTCTGCTTGTAGCATAGTTCTTACCAAGCTAAAATGTCCGAGTTGGTGGCTCTGTGTTTTGTTTAGGGTGCAGACAAGTCCTGTTTCCTAGCTTTTCCTGTGGGTATGTATTAGCTGATGACTTCCTGAGCTCCTAGAAGGTTCTCTCTAGTCCCTGGCTCTTCTCTTATCTCAGAACAGCCAGGTGTGGGGTCCGTCATCCTCAGAACCTTTATGTCTCCCTCTAGTTGCTTTCCTTATGTGGTAGTGTGTAAGTTCCTGATTCTGGACTCTCGGAATGCGGGACAATAAATATTTAGTATGTTGAGTCACCAGTCACTGGCCCAGGAGCCACCTCAGTGACCCTCTGCGAGCACAGGTATCTTCCTTTCTTCCTCTCCTTTCTGCTTTTTTTTTTTTTTTTTTTTTTTGGTTTGGTTTGGGTTTTGGATGACACCAGGGCCCCTATGTACCTGTTAGATGCTCTCTAGCCCCACCCTGTGTCCTTGCCCAGTGCTGAATGAAGTTTGGGTTACCTTTGTCTTATCTTTTCTTTTTTTAAGATTTATTTATTTATTTATTACTTGTACAGCATTCTGCCTGCATGTGTGCCTGCGCACCAGAAGAGGGCACTAGATATCACTATAGATGGTCATAGAGCCACCATGTGGTTGCTGGGAATTGAACTCAGTATCTTTGGATGAACAGCTAGTGCTTAACCTCTGAGCCATCTTTCCAGCCCCTCATCTTTCCTTTTTACACCTACCACAGGCCCACCACAGCCTCGCCTCAGACACCAGCCACCCCAGTGTCTGGGGACCTCAGGGTGTCTTGTCATAGTTCAGGCAAGTCCTTCAGCTTTCTTCCCAAGACACCTTCTGCAGCCCCTCTGGAACCTTCAGACCACAGGTGGCCTGGTCACACTCCTAATAGGGAGGGCACTAGGATTGTAGGTGGCTTGTGGCAGGGCCTCTCCCTGCTTTAACTTCCGGCCCCATGAGAAATGCTAGTTGCTAAACTGTGGTGATCAGGAACCTTTCAAGATAGTGTGGTCCTAGCTACTCCAGAGTCTGAGATAGGAGGCTCAATAGAAGCCATCCTGGGCTCTGGCTCAAATAAATGCATGTATCCACTCACCACAGAATGGCCTGGCCTGTGTGTCAAAAACTTCGGTGGGTCTAGTCTCCCTTAATTCATATTCCCACCTCTGTCTTTATTTGAAGTGCTGGGGTCTGTACACACTTCACAAGTGCTCCGACTTCTTATGGCTCCTCAGCCCACACCATTCCAGTTCACTTAGCCATTCCCCTGCTATGGAACATACAGGCCTTCAGCTTCAGAAAAACTAGCAACTCTCAATTGCCTCAATTCTTCTGAAGCTATCTGTCTTCTTCACATTCAGCTGTACAGCTCTGAGGAATGCTGGGAAAGCCTGAACTCTTTATCCCCAGCATAGAGTCCTGGCTGACCTTAAGCTAACTGAAATCCTCCATCCTCAGCCTCCTGGCTGCTGGGATTACAGGCTGGCAACTTCCACCAAGCAGGTTTGTAGGGTGCATCCCACCCTTATTTCCTGCTGCAGTGTCCTGGGGGCATTGGCCCTGCAGGGTGGTGAAACTACCTCTTTCATGGACGGGGCCGCAGAGGCTGGAGGGTGGCCACAGGGACCCCAGGCTGGCCATGTTTGATGGTGCCCTTCTCTGAATGTTCTTTGAGAGTCACTTATTTAGCCAGGCAGAGTGGTACTCCCAGCATGCAGGAAGCAGAGGCACGAACACCCAGCTTATTCTCAGCTACAGAGTGAGTTTGAGGCCAGCTTTGTCTTACATGAAAACCTGTTGGAGGATGTTTTGTGCACTGTGTATTCAGAGGCTGATTTCTGTGCCCAGAGATCTGGTTGCAGTCCAGATGTTGGTTGGCATTTCTTTCTTTCTTTCTTTCTTTTTTTTTTTTTTTTTTTTTTTTTTTCTCTTTTTTTTTTTTTTTTTTTGGCACTGTCATTTCTATAAAGCATCTCCTGTCTCAATATTGTGTAAAAATTACTCTTCACTTCTGATTGGTTAATAAAGAGCTGAACAGCTTATGGGTGGGGAGGAGAGTTAAGGCAGAACTTCTGATTGCAGTGAGAGGGTCCCAGGTAGAGAGCAGGGAAAGAGAGAGAGATAGAGGTGGCACAGTGAGAATACAGATGAAGCACAAGCAGCCAGGGCAAGACTAAGGTGGCAGGTAACAGGTCACGTGTCTGGGAAGTAGGCCAGTGCCAGGATTAGTGAGATTAATTTAGATTGAGCTAGCTGAGAACCTGCCCACCTATAGTGCCTAAAGCTGTTATTAATAGATATAAAGGTCTCCGTGTGATTGTGTAGAGATAGGCTGACATAGAGAGCCTGTACTTTTACATTTGGCACCCAACATGGACACCAATTCTTGTAAGGCCCTAGTGACTTGCCAGCCATAAAAACAAAGACATTGGGTCCTTTTAGTATTTTAAAGTTTAGGCCTTAGCTGGGAAGATTCTTAACTAGCTCATCTACATTAACCAGAATACCTAGCCTGGCCTTGCAACCTGGCTAGTATCCTCCCAGGCCTGTAGTCATGTCTGTCTCCTGGCAAAAAGACCCTACTTCCTAGAGTCCCTTTCTCCCTACCAGGAAGTCCTGCCTTCCACTCCCTGCCTCGCTAGTGGTCGCCAGCTTTTTATTAAAGCCAGTCAGAGAATGCCATAGGTAGATGAGGGAGGACAGAGACAAACCTTAATGTAACCCTGCTTCCCAAACTCCCCCACAGCTGATCAAAACCCAGATCAGCTGTGACCCGGGCTTGTGGGCACCCAGGGGGGCTGGCATGCAGCTGGTGTGGCCATAACAGCACTGCTCATTGTGACACCTGGGATGGCAGTGGAGCCTCAGGCTCACACTGAGATGAGATTAAGGTTTTCACACTATGTTTCCTCTGTGGAGGCTCCCTTGGGGCTTCTGGGTCTCCAGGGTTCCAGCTGAGGCCCAGAGCTCTTAGCTGACCAGCAGGCCACTCTGTCCATCTCCCCACAGCTGTCCAGTCCTGAGAGAGAAGTGGAGAGGGATGTCTTCCTGTACAGAGCGTACCTTGCACAGGTGAGTGTGGGTGGCCTGGGGAGGGGCACAGGTAAC